TTCTAGACTGTGATTCTGCCATAAAGATTTTCTTCTCAAAAAACATTCTAGCTGTGACAAACAGCAATTTGACCAAGCCACAAAATCTGTCATCCGACACGTCTTGACTCAATTCTTTATATTCAAGAGTTATGGATCGGGTTATTTGATGAACTGTGATATAAAATTACATTTTTGAAATAAAAGCTGGCTATAAAAATGCATGAATTCATCTCATCGAAAACCGCACGAGGATCGACTGACGTGGAGTGAAGATTGATGGTAAAATGTCATACTTTGCTAAATAGCTCACCAAATACATTAAGCCAAGAATGTTTCGTGGTCTGACCTCGTTTTAACAGCTTGGTCATGTTGTCATGGCCACCTTATTGGACACAATTTGCCCAAACTTATTCCAATAATATCCAGCGTCGGGTCGTAGACTTGGTACATTCGCATGCACCAAGTCAAGGATGTGCCGAGTTCAAGATTTGACCAAGGGACCCAACGGCGCTACTTTAGCAGATGACATTGGACAAGATGCATCCAATTCTGCCTCCCTGACGAGACGATCAAATTGCAAAAACCAAGTCAGACCAACCAAACAGAATCGACAACGTCCTTTTCTTCATGACATACTTTCTTAACTCAATGTAAGTTGATGAGCTATTTCATAAAGTTTTGTATCTTATACGAAGTAAAGTTTGGTTTCGAGGAATTTCTTATTTTATACTTGTTGAGCTTTCTTCCATTTCGAGTAGAAGTGTTGGGTAAAGAGATTCGAAAGTCGGTTCCACCAGAAGACGACGGCAATTCCTTCTGAGCAGCTGTCGATTGGCTTTACTGGAAGATTCATGCTGACGGTGTTTCCGAGGCAACCTCCTTCGATTCCGGTGACAAGGTGCTATGCTTTCGTCCATCATGTGACGGACATCATCGGAGCGAGGTACCATCGTCACAACCAAATTGAAACTAACGAGTCAAAAAAAATCACCGGAAAATTCCTAAAAAGTGGTATATATACTCTACATCTGACCTCTTTGATGAGGTATAAAGTGATTTAGTTAGTTTTCTTGACTCGTCAGCTTGAATTTTGTTGTGACCTTTTCACTGGAATCGAAGGAGATTGCGTCGGAAACAGCGTCAGCATGAATGTTCCAGTAAAGCCAATCGACAGCTGGTCAAGATATATTGTATCTTGCCATGATGATGTCTATCGCGGCGGTACAGACGAAAGCTTCCATTGCACTGCGATCCCATTTCGGTTTCTAGTAAGGTTGTTCTCTAAAAATGAACAGTTAACCCTTAATATATCCCCAACGAATTCTTCAAAGACCCCTGCTGCTTCACAGACATGATAAATGTTTGTCCGGTTCTCTTTTTTGGCGTCAGGTGTGCACATGCGAAAACGAGGCGACATGCGATCCCGTGACTGGCATCTGCCGTTGTCCGGCCGGCTACTTCGGGCCCTTTTGCCAGCATCCTTGTCCGCCCGGCCGATGGGGCGAAGCTTGCATCCGCGTCTGCGACTGCCTCAACGCCGTCGGTCTGGGCACCTGCGACGCGGCCACGGGCCGATGCCGCTGTCGGCCCGGCTTCATGGGAGAACGCTGTGAAAAAGGTAGTTGATCACGAGCATAACAGACATGCTCCAAAGCCGGAACTAGTCGAGGAACACTTTCTACAAGAGGCACTATTAACACCAAAATTGTTGGTTAGATAGATGGATGACTATTTCGTCATCTGGCCTCATGGTAAGGAGAATTTAGACAATTACCTACTTTCACTTAACCAACGTGAAAGGAAGATTAAGTTCACGATGGAAATGGAAGAGAATAAATCTCTA